TTTTCAAGAAGATAGGGGCATTCTAAGGACTATTACAGCCTTTTGACCTAAAGTTGTTTCTTCCTTCCACGTCAATCAGAACATTGTTCTTACAGCCTTTTTTCCAAATCCTTCATCAGAAATAAAGAAAAGATGGCATTGCCTGAATTTAGTGCGTTGTTTATCTACTTACATACAACGTACTTCTGATATCAGGAAATCCTCTAGACTTTTTGTTATTCCATCAGGACACAAGTTGGGACAAGCGGCTTCCACCTCTTCCATTGGGTGTTGGATTATATCAGGCTTACCAGGCGTCTGGAGTTCCTATCCCATTGGGTATTCGGGCTCACTCCACTAGAGCTCTAGCCTCCTCTTGTTTCCCCCTTACCGCATTTGTTCGGCAGCAACCTGAATGTCCTTTAATACATTTATTCATTACTACCGGTTGGATGTTGCCAGAGCTTCTAGTTCTGCCTTTAGCAGAAGTGTTCTTTCTTCAGCTTTATAATAAAATTTCTTTTACATTCTAAATGTTGGATGGTTTTCAATTTTTCCCTTTCCCTTATGTCTTTAGCTTGGGTATTACCCATCTGTAGTGCTGCCATGGATATATCCGGAAAAATAGAACATTTAATTCATACTTACCGATATTTTCTTTTATCGGATATAGGCCATGGCAGCACTACGATCCCACCCGACTTTTTTGTTTGTGGCTTGGGACAAAGACTGAGGACCTAGGGGAGGGATCTCTTTTATTTGTTTAATTAGGAGGTGGGAGGAGCTATACCCATCTGTAGTGCTGCCATGGCCTATATCCGGGAAAAGAAAATATCAGTAAGTATGAATAAAATTTTCTATTTTCCTGTACCAGGCCAGACTGAAAGGAAGTGCTCACTGAGAGAGCACTTCCTGTCAGTCCGGCCAGATACAGGAAACAGAAGTTCCTGTACCATGGTCTGCTCCGCTCGGTCACGCTACAATAAAGGTAGGAAACTTAATGGGGACCAAGGGGGGGAGAGAGATGGGCACTAAGGGACGGGGGGAGGGGTGGTAAGGAACACAATGGGACAGGGGGTGGGTGTAAGAACACTATGGGACAGGGGAGGGGGTTGGGTGGTAAGGAACACTATGGGACAGGGGAGGGGGGTGGTAAGAAACACTATGGGACAGGGGGAGTAGGGGTTGGTAAGGAACTCTATGGGACAGGGGAAGAAGGGATGGTAAGGAACAATATGGACAGGGGGAGGGGAGTGGTAAGGAACACTATGGGACAGGGGGAGAGAGGGTTGTAAGGAACACTATGAGACAGGGGGAGGGGAGTGGAAGAACACTCATATGGGACAGGGGAGAGGGGGTGTTAAGGAACACTATGGGACAGGGGAGGTGGGTGTAAGAACACTATGGGACAGGGGAGGGGGTGGAAGGACACTATGGGAAAAGGTGGGGGGGAAGAACACTATAGGATAGGGGAAGGGTGGAAAGAACATTATGGGACGGGGAGGGGGGGGAGAGCACTATGGGACAGGAGGGGGGGGAGCACTATGGGACGGGGAAGGGGAAAAGAACACTATGGGACAGGGGAAGGGGAAAAGAACACTATGGGACAGGGGAAGGGGAAAAGAACAGTATGGGACAGGGGAAGGGGAAAAGAACAGTATGGGACAGGGGAAGGGGAAAAGAACACTATGGGACAGGGGAAGGGGAAAAGAACACTATGGGACAGAGGAAGGGGAAAAGAACACTATGGATCTGGAAGGGGGTAATAACGCCATGGGACAGGAGGGGTAATAACGCCATGGACAGGGAGGCAGGAATGGAACACTATGGACAGGAGAGGGGGGAAAGAACACCATGGGACGGGAATAACACCATGGGACAGGGAAAGGGGAAAGAACACCATGGGACAGGTGAGAGGGGAAAGGACACTCATAGGACAGGGGAAGGGGAATGAACACTATGAGGGAGGGGGGAAAGAACACTATGGAATGGGGGGCAAAGAAAACTAAAAAAGAGGGAGGGGAGAGGAACACTGGGGGGGAGAAAGAGGAACACTAAGCACTAGGCACTAAGTTACAGGGGTGGGAAGGGAAAATGAACACTGGGGTGGGGCTACGACTAAAAGAGAAGGGAGAGGAACATCAAGGGGAAGGGGGGCACTAAGAGACCGGTAAGTGGGGGAGAGGAACACTAATGGACATGGAGGGGAGGAGAGAGGAACATGGGGGGAGAAAGACACACAGAGGGACATGAGGGGGAGAAAGACACAAAGATGGGCCTGGGGTGTCACGATTCCGGAACCTAACATGCTAACAGGTCACAGAGATGAAGGGTGCTATACCGGTCCTTAGAGTGGCCGGGCTAAGCACACTAAGAATGGTCAGGAGACAAGCCAAGTAAAGGGAGCCAGAAAACAGGAGAACGAGAAACAAGCCGAGGTCAAAGGAGTGGAGAAGACAGGATAATCGGAATAACGAGCCAAATAATCGGAAACCAGAGAGCAACACGAGAGAACAGCACTACTGGTATCACAAGACCACAACAGGGCACTGAGGGACAGGAAAGGTAAGTATAAATAACTTCCAATCAGAATTAACAATCACACGTGGGGGATGTCTATACCTCCCACTGTGATTGTGGTACTGTTTCTTTAATGCCGGGTCACTCACGTGACCCCGACGTTTGCATAATTCAGTGACCTCCCAGCGTGCAGCGTTATAGATGCTGCCGCTGGGGGGCGTGGAGGATGCGAGCAGCGAGTGGCAGAGAGGAGACGGACTGAGGGTGAGTGCTGCAAGTGGCGTGCAGCCTCCCCTCCTAGCCGCCCGCGGATCCCTGACATAACCCCCCCTCAAGGCCCGCCCAACGGGCGGGAAGCCGAAGGCTTCAAAGGAAACCGCGCATGAAAGGAGCGGATCAAAGAGGGCGCATTCAAGTCAGAGGTAGAAACCCAGGACCGCTCCTCAGGGCCGTAACCCTTCCAATCAACCAGATACTGCAACCGACCCCGAGAAAAACGAGAATCAAGCAGAGCAGCCACTTCGTACACGTCATTAGAGACAGCGCGGAGGGAATCTGGACGCCTGAGAGGACCAGAGAATCGATTACAGAGCAGGGGCTTCAAAAGGGAGGTGTGGAAAGTGTTAGGTATACGCATGGAAGGAGGCAAGGCCAGGGAGTAGGACACAGGATTGACCCTACGCAATACCTTATAGGGGCCAAGGAACCTGGGCACGAATTTCATTGAGGGGACCCTGAGGTGGAGATTCTTAGAGGACAACCAAACCCTATCACCCGGGACATAAGAGGGAGCAGCACCCCTACGACGATCAGCAAATCTCTTCTGAGTAGCAGTCGCACGAGAAAGAGTAGCATGGACCTGATCCCACATCTTCCGTAAGGCGGTGAGGTGCTCGTCCAAAGCGGGTATTCCCTTGTCGGAGAACACGCCGGGAAGGACAGAGGGTTGGAACCCATAAGCAACCATAAAAGGACTTAAACCAATGGACGAATGAGTCACAGTGTTCCTGGCGAATTCAGCCCAGGGAAGGAGGTGAGACCAGTTGTCCTGGTGTGCATTCGTGAAGCAACGTAAATATAACTCCACAGATTGATTCGCCCGTTCGGCCGCTCCATTAGACTGTGGATGATAGGAGGAAGTAAACGACAAGGAAATCCCCATCTCAGCACAAAAGCCCCAAAACCGAGAGACAAATTGAGGACCCCTGTCAGATAAGATATCCTGTGGTATACCATGCAAGCGGAAAACCTCTTTGGCAAATACCTGAGCCAACTGAACCGCAGAAGGTAGTTTCTTAAGTGGAATAAAGTGTGCCATTTTAGAGAACCTATCAGTCACAGTCAAAATTACTGTCATTCCATCGGATGAAGGAAGATCCACAATAAAGTCCATGGTTCCATGGTTTCTTGGGTACGGATAGAGGCATTAGGAGTCCCGGGGGTTTAACATTAGGGTACTTACACTGTGCACAAACACGACAAGCCTGCACATAATCCACTACGCCTTAAGTGAAGGCCACCAAAACTGTTGAAGGAGACCCTTGTATGTTTTGGTAACCCCTGGGTGACCAGCCGTTTTGGCGGTGTGAAATAAAGCTAACAATTTCTTTCTATCTGTTTCTTTCACGTATAATCTACCAACAGGTGTCTCAGAGGGTGCTTGGGTTTGGTATGCCTTGATACCATCAAGGAAAAGAGACGAAATAACTAAACAGGTAGCAGCTATTATCTTAGACGTGGGTACAATGGGTTCAGGAGCGGGGGCAATAGACTCCAAAGGTTCGTATTGTCGGGAGATAGCATCAGCCTTGACATTACGGTACCCAGGCCTATATGTGATAATGAACTGAAAGCGTGAAAGAAATAAGGACCATCTGGCTTGACGAGAGGGCAACCTTTTAGCATCAGCTATATAGGAGAGATTCTTATGATCAGTTATAACCAGGATTTTGTGTCTAGCTCCTTCTAATAAGTACCTACACTCTTTAAAAGCCATCACAATAGCTAATAG